TCCAAGTCTTTCCATTTCCTAACAAATGGGGCAATGTCATTCTTTCTGATGGAGGCATAGAATTCCATTGTGTATATATACCATATTTTCTTGATCCATTCATCTACTGAGGGGCATCTGGATTGGTTCCATATCTTAGCTATAGTAAATAGTGCTGCAATAAACATAGTTGTGCTGGTAGCTTTAGTGTGGTCTTATTTGTGACCATTTGGGTAAATGCCCAAAAGTGGGATTGCTGGGTCATAGGGGAGCTCTATGTGCGCTACTCCTTCTTATAGGAAGTTAAGGAATAAAATTTCCTTTTAAGTTTTAAGCTGACCACACACACACACGCACACACACATGCAAGAGAATGGAAATTTTTTGAACCAAAAAAATCATTAACTTACCAGGTAACAAAAACACAACTCACTCCAATGATCATATAGGTAAATGCATAATGCCAACAAAGGCATATGCTGAGAAACATACGGTTGTTATGATCTTTCAGATCCCACTTAGGACTTCCATTTGGGGGATACAGAACAAAAGCAACCTGTGATTTAAAATGAACAAAAAGCATATATTAAAATAACCAATCATATTCCCCAAGATGGTACATTTCAAAATGTTTGGTAATGATGAAGACTCCATTATCTCATATTCTCAGGAAACACAATAGGTTTTTCTCTCTGTTAAATTAATAAAGACAGTATCTACCAAACTTTAAATATATATTATATATACTTATTGATCCTGAGGCTTGAACTCAGGATCTGACTCTGAGCTTTTTTGGATGGGTTCCCTCTAGTTGTACACCAAATACCATTTTCCCTCCCTGATACATATGAACTTCACAGTTATCCTTAAACTTCACAACTTCAAGGAGATGTTGTTATCCCTCAGGTCACAGTGGTAAAGACTGGAATTCAGAGTAATTTCTTCCTCAGTATTCAAAACAGCTGAATGACTAAGACAGGATTCTCTGGCTCTAAAATTTTTGTTTTTTCTTCTAACTATGCTGTCTTTCCCCACAGATTCTTTCCATGTGGGAAACTATGAGAGAAGGTCAGTTTGAGTCACCTCAGTCGTTCTGATGAGGTTTAGACAATGAACTAAGATGAAACTTGATCCCATAAAGACACAGTAAAGTAACCTCTTAAAACACAGATTTCAGCAGCCAAGATGATGTGTATCAGGGTCCCAGTTACTCAGGAGGCTGAGGTAGGAAAATCACTTGATCCTATAACCTCAAGGTCATCTTGGAAAATATATTGAGACCTCACCTCAAAAATAGAAAACAAATGAAAAAACTGAACATCAACATACAGTTTAGAAACTGGCAGTCTCCGAGCCCACGCCTACTTCATAGTTACATGTTGACTCACCTGCACACTTTTAAAAATATAATTTGAAGTTGTCAACACTTAAAAAATTAGAGAACATCACTCAAAAGTCTACAGTCTAAGCTTTTTAGTAAGAATAGAAATTTCTGGCCATATTAGACCCGGATGACCAACAGGAAAACATGGATTGAAACATATATTCTCCATCACTTTGTCACTAAGATGATCTGTCTGACCAAACGAACAGAGGTAGACCAACATTTCTATTTATGGCTGACCCTGTTTGTCTTGTTTATTGAGGAAATGGAGTCCCAGCATTTTCCAATCATATTTGCTAATGTCCTTCTTTCTATCCCAGGAATCAACATGCATTTGCTGTGTACTTTATAGAGACAGGAAACTTAAAACCTACCTGATACTGATCCTCCATCCTAAATTAGTCAACTGTCCATTACTGTGATGAAATTAACTGAGAAAAACAACTTAAAATGTCTATTCAGGCTCACAGGTTTAAAGGCACCAGTCTCTGGTCATTTGACTCTGTTGTGTCTGGGGCTGCCGTAAAGCAGAACATCATAAAAGGAATATGAGGTACGTGATGGCTGCTCCTTTTGTGGTTGCCAGGGGAGAGAGAAAGAGGACGAGGGAGAAAGAAAGGGACCAGAGACAGGCTCTGAGGTCACTTCCTCATCCACTCCAGTCTCTCCTCCTTTAGTCAGTGGGAAGTCCCTGAGGTTATCATAAGCCCTGGAGCCATGCCTTCCCCTATTTAATCTCTGTCATTAGTTCCCTCTCTGCACATCTACATCTGGTGCAGGCTGGTGCTTTGGTTTTAATAACTCTCCCCTGCCTGAACCACATGGAGGTTTCCTTTCCACAACCCTTATAGTTCTTCAATGTTGTTCCAAGCTACTAGTGCCATGGAAGCTGGCAAAACTTTTTAAAGGGACGAGAACAGAGGGAAGGAACTGAGGTACCTGGAGACACACCTTTGAGAAAAATACTAAGATTTTGGCCCCTCCTGTCTCTGCTTCTAGGCCAACATGAGAATCGTTTTCTTGACATGCTTCTGCCGTGTGGTTCTGCATCACCACAGGCCCACGACAACAGGACCAAGCACTCACGAACAGAAATCGCTCACCTCCTTACCCCCAAATAAGCATCGGCAGCTTTGGTTTATGCATGATATTTTGTTAGACAGGGAAAAGCTTACCAACACAGACCTGCCGCCAGATTCTCCGTTTTAGGTCCCACCAATGCTTCTCTAGTGTCATCAACATAATCCACCCAACCTTGCTTGAAAAATGGTATGTTCTAGTTCCCAAATAGAGGGCAAACAGATGTGACCATCTTATTGGATGGTTCCAGTATTAGCCCCCAGTAAAATACCATCTTTGTACCCGTAAACAAACTCTAATTCAATCCAATGTCTCAGCCTCCTAAGAATGAAGGATGACAATTCAGGAACAAGGGATTGGGGATGTGGCTCAAGTGGTGCTTGTCTAGCAAGTGACAGACCCTGAGTTCACACACACACACACACACACACACACACACACACACACACTAGGAACACAAAGCAAACCAGAAGGATATCAAGGCACAGATTCTTTTCTGGGCTCTTAAGAAGGAATCAACATCAGTGTCTGGCTCTGTCTCCCTTTGAGAACACCCACACTCTGTTAGAGCATGCCACTGCCCTTCTGTTTGTCTGCTTATCTGCTTTTTGTCTGTCCGCTTGTTTACTTACTCACTAAAGCTCTGCCAAGTTTTCTTACCATCAAAAAATAAATAAATAAAGGATTCAATCTCATAAATACCTTGCTTTTGTGTATTTTATATTTGGTCTCCAGGGAAAGAATAAATTTCTGTTAAGCTTCCAGCTTGAGGGAATTTGTTATTTCAGGCTTAAGAAACTAACATAGCAAGTATGACCAAAATAACAGAAGAGAATCACTTGCCCTGATGAACCTCAAGCCTGGATACATTAGTGACACTCATCTAGGCTTCAAATCCTAACGACTTCACTTGTCCCTGGAAGCTTCCTTGCTCTCTTCCTCTAGAATTAGCCACCCTCTCCTCAGGGCAGAGTGAATTTTCAAGTAATGACATCTATTTTTCTCAATATTCCCGTGAGATATTTCCATTTATGTGGTGACTCATATGACTAATGAGGTAAAGTTAAAATGCTAATACTGAGGCCCACAGGCTATTCGGTACATGCCATATTCATAAGTGCCTTTTGAAGCTTCCAAAATAAATTCGCTAAAGTAACCTCCATCGGTCATCTTCAATTCTCCCAAGCTTTTTTTTTTTTTTTTTGGTTGGTTGTGGGGCTTGAACTCTAGGCCTGGGCACTGCCCCTCAGCTCTTCAGCTCAAGGCAAGTGTGCTACCACTTGAGTCACAGTGCTACTTCTTGGCTTTTTCTGCTTATATGGTGCTGAGGAATTGAACCCACTGCCTCATGCATGCAAGGCAAGCACTCTACCTCTGAGACACCTTCCCAGCCCTTTTTACTGTTTTTCACTAGAAAAGGAAAAACTGTGAGTGCTTCCCACTGTCTCATTGGAACCCACAGTATTGAAAGACAAATATTGACTGAGGATGAGACTGTAAACCTATGAATAGTCAATTGTAGAGACCACACTTAAACCCACAGAAACATCCCATAGTCATCTTAACCACAAAACCATAAAGGAAGCTGAAGTCTCATACTAAGGGCCAGAAACTGTCACAAGTCACTCGATCATCATTTCAATACAAAGATAACATAAAAATCTGCCACTGTGCCTTTATGAACTATTCCTAATTTGATTTTTAACATAAAATTACAAGAAAAAAGACCTATAAAAGAATATTTTCTTGTGATAGCTTGTATGTCACCCATATCTGTTTCAATTAGTCTGAGCTTCATTACTATCATATTTCCATAACAAATAATGATACAATCTATGCATAGTTTACAACTTGAGTTTCATATTGATCCATATCTTATTATCTGTCTAACCATGTATTGCAACACTATAAGCCCAAACAAGTGTTTGATCTATCATTTCACGCCACTGCTACTTTTTTCTTTCATTTTCAAATAAAACTTCATTTTTCTTAAAGGTAAGAAAGGTTTCATTTTCATTTGGACTGAAGAGATAATCCTGGGCTAGGAAGGTAGGTAGAGAATAACAAGAAGCCAAGCCAGCAGGAACAGTTTCCTTCTTCCCCGACTATCTCTGTCTCCTTTGTGAAGGAGAATGAGAAAAGGCTCAGACAAAATACGAGTTAGTTTTTGAAATAGTCTCCTACACAGAAACAGAAGAAGAGCCTGACTCAAGGAACAAGGGGACATTGATGAACTTTCTTTTTCTTTTCTAAATTATGAATAAGTTATTAAAGAAAACTTTTGTGTCTTTGAATTTGTGAAAGGGTCTTCCTGTCTAGTCCAAGCTGACCTTTAATTCACAATCCCCCAGCCTCAGCCTCCAAAGTGCTGGTATTACAGGCTTACACTACTATATCCCATAAGAAAACATTATTAAATGTAATAAGGCTCAGGGAAAAAAATCCAAAGATGTTTTTATAAGTTTGGAGGGCAATTCTCCATCTGTGTACATATTACACAATCATTTAAATTTGAATTATTAAAAAATGGTGTGAGCTGGGTGGCAATGGCTCATCCTTTTATACAGAAATTCTTCACTTAGCATGGGAGTTACATTCCAGAGACCCCTATGATGGGTGAATATATATAAAGTTGCAGCATTATCTTTATTTTCTTATTTATATATAGTGTAAGGCTCTTCCCACTCTCCTATAAACCTTTCCCACTCTCTTATTAACCTTAATTAACATTTTAATATTTGATATTATTATTGTTTAGGCAAAAAATCATTAAAATGGTAAATATTATATAAATACCTTATACCTATACTGCAAAATCCTATGATAGAGCAAAAACTCTGTGATATAGAATTAGATATATATTTTGTTTTTTTAAATCTGAAATACAGTGAAGCCTCAATAAGTGAACCACTGTATAGTGAGGAAAGACTATAATCTGAGCTACTCAGGAAGCTGATTGTAGTTCAAAGCCTGGCCAGGCAGGAAAGTCTGGAATTCTCATCCCCAATTAACTACCAGAAAAAGCTCAGGGACAGCACCCAGGCCCTGAGTTCAAGTCCCATGACTGACAAAAATATAAAAATTAAATTAAATTGAAAACAGCCAGTCTGAACATTTGCCTCTTTCAGTTACATGTCCTACACATGGCTCCAGGAGGCAGGTGTGTCATTAATAGGTCTGCACATAATTGATGCACTATTATTGGTCAAGTAAAGAGAAATGGTGAAAGAAAAAGCAAGGTTTAAAAAAAGTCACTTCATGGGCTGGCTCAGTGGTAGAGTGCTTGCCTTGCATGCATGAGGCCTGGGTTTGATTCCTCAGCACCACATAAGCAGAAAAAGCCTGAAGTGGCACTGTGGCTTAAGTGGTAGAGCACTTGCCTTGAGCTGAAGAGCTGAGGGACAGTACCCAGGCCCAGAGTTCAAGCCCCATGACTGACAAAACAAAAAGTCACTTCAGACAGAATTGTGACCATAACTATAATCAATAAACCATGAAAACATAATAAATTCAAGTAGGTTTCTACACATTTGGATTTGGGTTTCAGATAAATGGAAAAACAGGCAGTTAACAGGGCTAAACTGTCATTTCCCATAAGGATGTTTGCATTGCTAGAATATGTTCATTTTTCTTTGTCTCCAGACAGTATTTAGGCTGACTGCTAAGTCAAACAGGAAACTAATCTAGACATTTGAGGAGATGAAAAGCTTCAAGGTAATTAAAGATTTATGCCCAAAAATATTAAACTCACAGAAATGCCTTAGAAAAGCTTTTGGGGAGATGAAAACACTATTTTTCCGTTCTGAATTTGAATTTTAATCTTCTACCTATGGATATCCCATTTCCAGCACTACTTGTTAAAGAAGCTTTTTTGCAATGTATATGTTCTTGGCCACTTTCTCAAGAAACACGTGACAGTCTTGCTTGGGCTTATTCTGGATCTTATATTCTATCCTAGTTTTCTGTCTGTTTTTGTGCCAGTGTACCATTATGTTTTTGTTAGTACGGCTCTGCAGTATAATTTGAAGTCTGGTATTGTTGATGCCTTCAGCATTGTTTATTTTGCTCAAGAGTTCTTTGGCTAGCCAGGGTATTTTGTGCTTCCACAAGAATTTTAGGATTGTTTTTTCTATCTCTATAAAGAATGAACAGAGATGAGATTTTGACAGGGATTGACTAACTGTGGATTTCCTTTGGCAGTTACATCTATAAATGTATATGACATTATGATTTAACAGTTTCAGATGTTCATTGATTGGAATTAATAGCAACGCATTAAGGGTAGAGAGTTGACATAAAAAATTGAAAGATTATAGGTGTTGTGGTTAACATGTTCAGTTTTAGAGTTTTTATCTATTACTGATTGTGCCTGGGAGAGTAACTTTTCTCTTTGGATTTTCCTACAGTAAATTAGAAATGATAGTACCTAATTTCTGACTTGGCGTAAGAACACAGCAAAATAAGGTATATATAAAAATCTAATATAATAGCCCAAAATGTTATTTCTCAATAAATAACAGTTTCTTCTCTTTCTTGATTTCCAGATGTTTCTAGAATCTACTACCCATCAGGTGATTAAGCTTCTTGAGGGTCAAGAATTGCTTCCAACTAAAGGCATAAATGAGATTTCCCACAGGGAAAGGGAAAAGGACAGTTAGTTGTATGATTAAGATGTGAACAACCTTCTTCCTCCATCTACTTTGACCATGTCCCCATCAAGGCCTCTGAGCCACTTGAAGGACATCATCTCTCAGAGAACTACTGGATGAAAGTCTCATGAGTCAAGTTAAAGTACACCATCAAATAAGGAGATAGAAATACTAGGTATTAGCTGAAGGCTCCAACCTACCTGCCAGAACCAGGTCCCTTGTAGCATGAGGAGACTTGACCTCAGAAGCTCCAGCAATACATTATTCTTTGTGAGGAACTCCAGGAAGGAAACTATTCCTGCCAAAAGGACGACCAAGCACAGCATCTGGTGTACAAAGATGTCTAGCATTTCTCGGCCATGAGTGTGGTTGTAAAAGATAAAACCTGACAGAGGGAGAAAAATAATTTGTCTTTTTTTCCTCCATAGAATCACATGCTACCCGTTGCTTCTCTAGCATACTCTGTCCACAGAATCGTACACATGTATATAAGTGCTCAAAAAGTTTTCCTCTGATTCCCACGGCAATGAACTTTGGCATTTGAGGAGTCATGATTGCCCTTTAGAATGCTGTCCTTGGGATAGAGGAGTTAGAGGCATGGCTCAGGTGGCAGAGCACCAGCCAACGAGCAAAAGAATCAGATGCTGAGTTTGAGTTCCAGTCCCAAACTCACAAAAAAAAAATGAAATCTTTGGAATTCAGCTCTCCTTTTCCCTTCCCCCAACTTTTTTCTCTCCTCTAACACAAAATGACATTTTAGCCAGGTGCCAATGGCTCATGCCTGTAATCCTAGCTACTCAGGAGGCTGAGATCTGAGGATCACAGTTCAAAGCCAGCCCAGGCAGGAAAAGTCTGAGACTCTTATCTCCAATTAACCAAGAGAAAACTGGAAGTGGTGTTGTGGCTCAAGTGGTAGAGCACTTGCCTTGAACAGAAGAGCTCAAGGACAGCACCCAGGCCCAGAGTTCAAGCCCTTCAAGCCCCACGACCAACCAAAAAAAAAAAAAAGATACTTTAAACTGTATTTCTAAGCATCTTCTACATAGGCTAATGAGTAATATCTATGACAGGACAAGGGAGCTATAATTATTGTGAATATACAAATGAATAAATATAAAATGAAGGCTTGACTGAAGGAATTTTATACAATGAAATGAATGTGCACATGCATCATAAGGTAGACCTTGAACAAAACTCTAGAGCAGTAGTACCCACTTCATTTTTTCAAATTCTATAAATAGATATAAATTCATCTTCATTGTTTTCATTTAGGTAAAGAGGAAAAGATACTCATGAAAAGGACAGTAACACCCTGAGATCATGAAACCTTGCAATCTAGACCTTGATCTCAAAGAGGGACAGATAAAATATTCCTATCTTTGGATGAGGGACAAGGAAAGGGGATCAAGTGGGAGGAGACCGCTTCCTGATCATTTGGGATTTTACAGTTCTGAAATCAGTCAATTTCTTGAGTGTACAATAAATGGAAGCAAATCATTTATCACGCCATGTTTTCTATTTCCTTCCAACCATAATCTGGAAAAACAACTGAATGAAACTTTGTTTTCTTGAACTTCTCCAAATTAAGGACCTCATGTTTTTATGTGACTGAACTTTTTGGACCCTGCTTCTCACATATTGAGATTGTCTTGTGATGCCAGTATTCTGGAAGCCAGCAAGCAGATGCTGGAACATGTTCTGCCATGAGCAGTTGCCCATTCCAATGCTCCACTGCTGACTTCAGTTTTCACTGTCAAAAGTGAAAATGGTAATAACCAGGACAAGCAAGACAGCAGTAAACACTGTTGGTGATTCTTTGAGACACATATAAAGCAGGGGGAAAAGCACATTGAATAATTTGTGCTGGCCCAGTTCTACTAATGGAAGGAAAATCTTTGGCATCCTGCTAGGACACCCAAATATTTCACGATGGCCCAGGTATATGGCCTTGTCAAGCAAGACTGTACCTTAACCCAAAGACACATTATTGTAAAGGGTTACATGAATCTCATTAATAGAGAAAATTACAGAAGGAAAAAATGAAAACATCACTCATACTTACCCTCCACAAATAAGGCATTTGACATCATTAACTTCACTAAGGAGCCTGGAAGTGAATTAATGGTGGAACATAAGACTTTGGAAACACCCATCAGTCCAAAGAAGAAATACATGGTACAGTGATGCCAGCCATCGAGTTGATTCCACTGGCCTTCTTTATATAAGATCAGGGATGGTCCTCCATTAAGAAACTGTTCCCCACCTATGCCTGTAGAGAAAGACATTAGTTTTATCAACCCTCTCCATAAACTTTCCTAGTATTCGTGAATATGCAAGGACATTTATTCATTATCTATTACAATCTACTGTCCTCTTATAGATTGATCCCTCTTTCTGAACCATTCTCTAACGGTCTAGTACAAACTTCAGATATATTTTAGTTCAGATGCTGTCTATCTGGGTAAAAAAATCTTAGTCAAAACAATCATATCACCAATAGAGTCAAATCATTATCTCAAATGATCAATGATTATAATGTTAGTTCAACTGTTTGTTGTAATTACTAAAGTAAATCCTGTCTGATTTGGGGGTCTAAATTTAGGAGATCAGTCTATAAAGGATGGATTATTTTTTCCTCTAGATATTACATGTTTTAGCTACCACAAAACAAGAAGTTGTCCTTAGTAGCCATCAAATACACTAGGAGTTTGGGTTTTTCTCAGTGAAGAATAACTGAGAAGACGCAGACAAATGATCTAGTCAGTTATACAAAAGTTTAGACAGGTGGCTCACACCTGTAATCCTAGCTACTCAGGAGGCTGAGATCTGAGGATCATAGTTAAATGCCAGCCAGGGCAGGAAAGTCCATGAGACTCTTATCTCCTATAAACAACTAGAAAACCAGAAGTGATGCTGTGGCTCAAGTGGTAGGGTGCTTTCTTTGAGTTGAAGAGCGCAGGGACAGCGCCCAGGCCCAGAGTTCAAGCCCCACAACCAACAAAAACAAACAAACAAACAAACACAAACCTAGAAGTGGCACTGTGGCTCAAATGGTAGAGCTTTAGCCTTGAGCACAAAGTGGCTTGGGACATTGTCCTGACCCTGAATTCAAGCCCCACAACCAACCAAAAACAACAACAACAACAACAATTTGACTTCCTTAGAGATGATACCTTGCTTATTAACCTATCCTATTTGGTAAAGAAGTTCTTTTCTTTGGAAATAGTTGTGCTGTAGTTATTTTATTTTATTGAACTTGGGACCTGGGTGTTGTCCCTGAGCTCTTTTGCTCAAGGCTAGTGCTCTACCACTTTGAGCAATAGTGTCACTTTGGGTTTTCTGGTGGTTAATTGGAGATAAGAGTCTCACAGACTTTCCTGCCTGGCTGGCTTTAAACCAAAATCATGACATCTCACCTTCCTGAGTACCTAGGATTACAAGCATAAGCCACCAGTGCCTGTAATTTGATGGTCAAAGACCTACCTCTATCAATAAAACATGAGAAAAAAAACAAATGTAAATGTGGAAATTTTATATTTAACAAAGAAGAGGCCTGAGTGGAACACTAACAAATACAGAATGCATTCCTAGAATTTCCAAAGGTAATGAAATCCTCTAGAAGTTGTCTGCCTCACTTCCTTCTCCAGGTCAGAAAACAAAAGAGAAAGACAAGTGCATGAGGCACTATCCTCCTCCACTCCGACTCCTCTCCAGCCTATCTGCAGTGATTTACCAGAAAAACATCACCATAATCACTTAATCATTTTGGTGTTATTTGAGAAGTGGTTTCTAATAGGGTTTATTCTTTCAGAGATCAGAACAGTTGTTATGAAAGTGTTTCAGAGGCTCTAACCAATTTTAAAATCTAATTCACCTTGACTGGGTAGGCAAATTAAGTACTATGGTTAAGTGCTAAGGGAGTATGTAGGACTAAGTTCTTATTTACACAAGAACTGTACCACATTATATCAGAAGACAATTACAATTAGAATATGTATTACACCTTTCTTTTGGTGCCAATTCTGGGGCTTGAATTCAGGACTTCGGTGTTGTCCCTGACATTCAGCAGTGGTAGTGCTCTATTATGTCACCACAGAGCCACCTCCAGCTTTTTCTGAGTAGATCATTAGAGAGTTTCTAGACTTTCTTCCCCAGACTGGCTTCAAGCTGCAATCAATCCTCAGATCCCAGCCTTCTCAGTACTTAGGATTACAGACATCAACAACCAGTGCCTGGCCAAGACGTATTTTAAATACAAAGTTCATTTTAACATAGCTTGATTTTATAGTGACTCTTCTTTGTGCTCATGAAAATACTCAAAAGGAGAAGAGAAAACACAGAAATGGTCCACTCACCACTCAGAGCCATGAAGATTAGTATAATTCCCTCCACAAGTTCTACTCGTTGGGTTGATGCTTTGGTGCCAAGATAGCATATCCGCTTCTGCTTTTTGGAGACATATTTCAGAATAGATTTGATGATCCACCAAAAACTCATGAGAAAGAAGTAAGTTCCAGGGAGGGCATGACCTCTGAAACTCCCCATGACCTACAAAGATAAGAGTATGCATTAGATAGGTATTCATTTCTAGAGTCTGGCCAAAATGTCCTTTGTCTCCAGAGAGTATACTAACTTTTGGGAACCTTGTAGATCTTACTCCAATATCAAGAATGCCAAAAAAAAAAAAAGAAAATAGATGGCATTCATTGAACACTTATCATATATTTTAGGCATTGTGTCAGGTGTTTTACAAGGGATTTATCACCTATGAGTGAAAGGTTATTATTCCATTTTCAATTGAGGTACAAGGCTAAAGAAGTAAGATAACTTTCCCATATCTCACAATTATTTAGTAAAAAATTTCTTATTTTTAACACAGAGCTCAAAATGATTTCTTATAAAAAACAGTGTTTCACAATGCACTTGCTTCTTAACCACACTTAAAAAAATATAATATGAAAATTTGACATCTGTGTTTAAAGCTTTGAATGACATGAAATTGCCTGCAAGTGTGTGTGTGTGTGTGTGTGTGTGTGTACATGTACTGGACCTTGGGGATGAAATCAAGGCCTGGGCACTGTTCCTGAGCTTCTTTGCTCAAGGATCATGTTCTACTAGAACCATAGCCCTACTTCTGATTTTTTTTTTTTTGGTAGTTCATTGGAGATAAGAGTCTCGCCAGTTTTCCTGTTCAGGCTGGCTTTGACCCATGATCCTCAGATCTCAGCCTCCTATGTAGCTGGGATTACAGGCGTAAGCTACCAGTGTCCAGTTGCCTATGCATTTTTAAAGTAAATAGGTTTCAAAGGATCAAGTGTGTTTCAGAGACCATGAGTATTCCTCAGATATTCATATTCCTTCCCACCTTTGCCCAGCCTCTCCTCCAGCTGACTTAGAATTGAGTTTTTAACTCTGATTACTGGGCTGATGTGGAATCAGCACAAGGCTGAGACAGTTCAGTTCCTTTATCTCTCTCTTCCCCCTGCTTTGGCAACCTTGAAATGAGATGGCCACAGAATAGAGGATGGGAAACCAGCTTGCTTCACATTATGAAGAAATCCTTCCTTATTGTCTTAAGGCACTGAAACTTCGACTTTTATTTTAAAAAGAATTTAGTCCTGCTTAACCAGAAGTCAACTAACCCAATTCCTATTGCAAATTTTGTTTACACTATTGCCACATGGAAGAAAGTCACTTCTGACTAATAAACACGGGTGTATCTGGTCAGTGATATAGAGACACTGGTCTTGAATGATGTATGCTCTTAATAATTCAAAGAGTTCTTTGTTCAAATGTCTTGTGCCATGAACAGTATAATGGAGAGACAGTCCAGGATTATTTCTGTTTATTTAGGTAGACATATGCCAGTTCATGAGAAAGGATTTCAGAATTCTACCTGGCCCAGAAGACTTCATAGCTGAGTACTGGGCCTCTCAGTGTAGGCAACAATTCTTTGGCTAATTCCTCGAGAGGAAACTGTGAAGTTGACGTTAATATGGACAATCTATCTCCAGTGAAGTCTCATTTCAGTGCATGTTTAAATCATACAAGCCATCTTACTATCAAACATGTTATGTGCAGGTTCTGGTACATCTTTTGGGTGGACTTGAGCCTATGTCCCTTAACCTCTCTGAGTCTTTGTTTTTAATTAATTAAAGGAGAAGATATGGGTATAAATGATGCCAGGAGTTTCTTTTCTGGATAATTACCCTAGCTGCCCTCCTTCCACAGTGTGGCTGAATCCACTGTTTGTTTTGATTTAGGTTACTACCTGGAATTGGAAAATACATCCTGACTGTAAACATTTCAAACTTTCTGGAAAACAATTTGACATGATTTAAAGATCATTCACAATTTGTATTCCTTGGTATAAAAAAACTCACTTGGAAGAGTTTGTCCCAAATATATTCCTGGAAATAACAAATCTATATTGGTGCCTATCGCAAAAGCTATATGTACATCTATATATAGAGAGATAGATAGTAATAGATAGATAGATAGATAGATAGATAGATAGATAGACCCAAAAATAGAAGAATTATTAAATAAGTGATACAACTTCTAAAAATACAATTTTCAAATAACTTAAATGACAGAAGATAAGTAAATGAAAAGAATGGGATAAAAACCAAGGAATAGAGGCTTAAGGTCACACTAAGTAGGTGTGAATACCAGGTTAACCATTTATTAGCAAGATGACTTTTGGAAGTTACTTAATCTTCACTGCCTCAATTTTCTCTTTTGTAAATTAGGACTAATTATAATACCTATTGCATAGAATTAAGATGAGTTGTTCCAAAACAAATAATCTATTCAGTAGTCATGCTATCCTCAACTACCAAAGTAAAACCAAATGAACAACTGTACTTAGCTACAAACTACAGAAATGTGAACATTTTCTTTACTAGTCATCTGATAATTATCTGTGTACTTCTTTTTTTATTGTGAAAATACCGTACAGAGGGGTTACAATTACATGAACAAGGTAATGAGTACCTTTCTTTTGGTGGGAGCGGGGAAGGACCGGTCGTGAGGCCTGAACTCTGGGCCTGGATGCTGTCCCTCAGCTCTTCAGCTCAAGGCTAGCGCTCTACCACTTGAGCCACAGCGCCACTTCCGGCTTTTTTCTTTTAGCTTATGTGGTGCTGAGGAATCGAACCCAGGGCCTCTGGCATGCAAGGCAAGCACTCTACCACTGAGCCACCTTCCCAACCCTAATGAGTACCTTTCTTATAAAGCAGTATAACACTTTTACTTCTAATGTTTTAAAGAGTTACTGGGATCTTCTTTGGTTATATAATTCTTATACTTTAATTAGGGAATAAAGCTCTTGAAAACAGAGAAAACAAATCTACATGACAAATTTCTCTTTGAACTTAATATCTTATGTACTGTAGGTTTCTTAGTTAACAAGAGTAAGTAAGCAGTTCTTATCATAGAAATTATTTATCAAGCATCTTTACTCTGATACCTCTAAGGTCATCTCATACTTAGCATTTAACTAATCACTCACTTCCAGAAAGTAACTTTCTCCCAACTACCTATTTGGTCAACAAGAACTGTCATTTGCCTTACTTGCCCAAACCTAAAACATGAAAATCACCCAAGAGTCTGGCTAGTTCCCTAAAAGTGAATTCATTATTGAAAAGCCTTGCTCTGCTGTCTAACATCAAACCCTCTGTCTAAAACTCCTAGCTGCTTCAGTTTCATCCGCTTGAAAAGTCTTCCCTGAAGGCCCAAACAGGCAATCCTGTTACACCTTAAAGCATCAAGCATTCACTTCAATAAATCCATCTTCCTGATTAACCTCTGAGATCTTAGTCACCAAAACCATGCCAGCCTTGTAACAGAGCATTGAGGACTCAAAATTAAAGAGCCTGGGCCAATTTTCTGCTTGTTCATTACTTCTCTCTCTCTCCCTCTCTCTCCCCCCCTCCTTTATCTTTCTTCCTTGTTCCCTTCTTTCTGTCCCTCCCATCCTTCCCTGCCTCCTTCCCTCCCTCTCTTCCTTCCTTCCTTCCTCCCTTCCTTCCTTCCTTCCTTCCTTCCTTCCTTCCTTTCTTCCTTCCTTTTTTCTTTCTTTCTTACCCCTAACATATTAAGGAAGAAAATGCCAGAGTTACAAAAAACAACTTTAGGGTTCCTACCTTTCTGCATATAAAAATATTTGACCAAAGTCAAAGTTATAACAGGCTTTCTAGATTTGTCTGGCTAATGAACCCAGCAAACCCAGTAATTCTTGGCAATGGGAATAAATTTGTTTTACTTCTCATCCATTGTGCCATTTCAGAAGCCATTGTCTATCCAATTATTGTCCCCTGATTTACTACTGCCTTCAGATATAACTTACTTTATGTAAAAGGTGAGTACAGTAGTAAAGTTTGGTAAGATTTAAATCCAGTGAGCACACACAGTCTCTTTAAAAAACCCAGGGCTTTCTTTCATCACCATAACATGAAATATATTTGCCAGGCAGCCAGCAGAAACCTTGGGGGAATCACCAGGGTAGGAAACAAAAAGACCTTTCCTGAGGATCCTTCCCAGTTGCACCCAGATACAATTCATCCTAAAATTCATATTCCTCTCCTATCCAAAGAAACTGTGGCTTCTAATGACACTAAACATCCTCTGGTTAAATATAAGAAAAAAATCTCCACTAGTCCTTTATTCTGACTACCCTAATACATGCACACACACACACACACACACACACACACACACATACACACACACACGCATATACCACTACCACCATCACCACCACCATCATCACCACTATCACTAGTTTTAAATTCTAGTGTTGAAAAGAGACAAAATTGGCAAATCCCTAAGACCTTAATTAGGTGTTGGGTGTTAATTCCCAGCCATTATCATAGCTTAGCCTCTATACAGAGAGAATTCAGCCTAGGGGAAGATATGTAACAATCTTATTGATAGAAATTCAATCAAATAGCTAATTTCAATATTATGAGAAAGGTCTTAAACTACAATTGTCTTAAGTCACTACCAACATTTGTCTTAATCAGTGATTCATACTTCAAATTACATATGTAAATTCTAATACATTGAATATGTGCTGTCTTGTCTTCTCTTAACTATTGCTTCATGAGTAACTTTAAAAAATCTACTTTTTATGCTTAGTGACATTTTTATTAAAGGAAAAGTTCAAAATGCCCAATAATTACAGATAACAATTGATATACACATGAATAAAAGTAAATGCTGAGTAAACATTAGAATAAATTATGCATATCATTTACTTTAAGGTTAAATAAAGTACCTGAAAAGGATGTTACAGATTTATTTTCAGATATAGTTTCATTTGGATCCCACTTTAACAAATCTTGATTCAACATCATTCCATACATCTCTCAGACTTTATCTTCCATATTTGAACAGTTTGAATTTTCTTAGTGAAATGATCCTTACCCTCACAATTTCTTCAGTGTCGAACCCAACTGAATCCTCTTGTCTCAAGGATTTAGAATGGTTCCCAGGCTCCAGAAAAGAACAGCAGGTGCTGACAGGCCCTGAATCTAAAACCTCCT